AGCGATGGCGGCTGGGTCGGGAGCAGGCGTGGCTTTCCTCCACCTGCATAATTCTTTATTCTAAAAATACTACACCCAGGGTGAAAGGGGTAAAGGGAGGGAGGGGTATGGGGAAAAATGGGAACCCAGATCTGTCATGTAAAGATCCCAATGATGAATGTAACTGTACTGTATACTTAAAAAGTACCAATAAACTCAATAAGATTAAAAAAATAAATAAAGTCCATGGTAAAAAAAAAAAATACAACTTCCATTAAATAATAATTTTTCATTTCCTCCTCCCTCTGGTTCCTGGCAACCACTGTTGTACTTTTTCTGGATTTGACTATCCTAAGTAACACATGTAACTGGAAACTATTAATATTTTTGTAATTGTCCCAATTCACTTAAAAGAATATCCTCAAGGCTGATCCATGTTTTCTCACGGGTCCGAATTTTCTTCCTTTTTAAGGCTGAATACTCTTCCATTGTCCTTCTCTATTACCCTTTGCTTATCCATTCATTTATTGATGAACACATCTAAGTTACTTATTTTGTGGTTCCTAGGTTCAAACTCATGGAGCACGGACCTTAATTTCTAACTTATTTTATTATTTTGAGACAGGGTCTCACTAAGTTTCCCAGGCTGGCCTTGAACTTCTGAGCTTCCTGCCTTAGCCTCCTGGGTAGTTGAAGTCACAGGCATGTGCCGCCAGAACCTGTTGATGGTCACGAGTTGCTCCTGCCTGTAAGCTATTATAACTAAAGCAGCTATGAGCATGGGTATTTCAGGGGTATATACATTCTCATGGATGCATTTATGCTCATGGGTATGAACACGAGTATCCCTTTAAGACCCTGCTTTTTTCTTGTTGTTGTTGTTTTGAGACAGGCTCTCACTATGTAGACTGAACTGGAACTCACTGTGTAGCCCAGGCTGGTTGGTCTCGAACTCACAGGGATCCTCCTGCCTCAGCCTCCTGAGTGCTAGCATTACAGGCGTGCACCACCACACCAGGCTAAGACCCTGCTTTTGTATATCATTTCGATATCTGGGCATAAAACCAGAACAGCAAGTCAAAATGGTTAAAGGAGTCGCCTAAAAAGAGTGAGAATTTGGGGATGAAAATTAGAGAGAATTTTGCTATTTTCCTCCATAAGATAATAGTTCTATTTAAAATTGTAAGATGTATATGCCTTGGCTTAATAAAAATGAAAAAAAAAGAAGAAAAGAAAATATATCACACATATGGTCAGAGGTCCAGCTAGCATCTGACAGCGTTTCTCTCTCTCCACTTCTCTCTCCCTCTGCAGAGTCCTCTGCAGGGCTCCTGGGTCTCTGTGTGCGGTGTCAGCAGTGTTCTGTGCATTTCCTCTCTCTGCTATCCTGCAGTTTCTGTTCCTTCTGTTGTCTCTTCAGAGGCCAGTTGTTGGCTGTTGACTCTCACTGTGTCCCCAGGCTACCAATACCTGGTGTCAAATTATTGATATCTGGGCCAGCGGTGTTACTTCTCGTCCCTGCTGAAGCTGCTGACAGTCGATACCCTCACAGTTCCAACGGGGTTGTGTTTTCCTAAATGGGAGGACTTTTTCTCAATTCACAGAATCAGAAAGCTATATTCTCTTTTTAGTTCCTTTAATGCCGTATTTATTTTGGTAAAGTGCTTAAATCATTTAAAAGTTTTGAATTACAGTGTGGCAATATGTAAATGTTAAATAAGTAGAAAATGTTGATTTTAATGACTTTTTCCTTTTATTAAAATCTGTTTGTTGTATGACGGGATTTATTTCAAGGTAGCTATCTTGATTGCTGTAGCTTTATGATCACTTTTAAAATTAGATAGCGTGATCCCTTCATTTTTATACTTTTATTTTAAATTTGTTTGTCTGTCATTTAAAATAAATCTTATTTTATTTATTTATTTATTTATTTTGGTACTGCGAATCTAAGTTGGGAACTTGCACTTGTGAGGCAGGTGGTGGAACCACTGAGCTCAATCCCCAGCCCTAAAATGAATTTTAGAATCAGCTTGTCTATATTCACAAAAACTACTGTAAGAATGTTCATAACAACTTTATGGACTGATTCAGCTGAAGCCATTGTAATTTGCACTTTGATACTTTTAGTTTTTATTTGCTTTATTCATTTTGTCCAGCCTTAGCAATAACTTTTATTCAGGAAAGCAGGTACACAAAAACACTGCTCTTGACAAGCTGCCTTCTGATCATATTTCCATCTGTTTCACCCACAGTATTTGATTTTGTCAAAGCTTTTCTTATGTAGCCTAATTTCTGTCTCACTGTAAACACAGAGCCGTGTATGTACTTCTACTGTGATAGCATCCTAGACAAATGTAGCTCAGTATCAAGGGAGATTTGGAATGAAAAAAAAAAAAAA